ATTATTTAATTAAGAATTATGAAATAAATAAACTTGTTCCAATTGAGCTCAAAATTTTTGTAAATGTTCATCACATGATAACTAAGTGGCAAAACAATTTTCAAAGTTTTTTTGGATACATAAATAAGCCTAGAAAAATCATAGAAACTCATTTATTAATTAATTGAGTAATTTTTATCACATTCAAAAAGTACTTAAAACAACATTTCATATTTTTTCTTAAATAATATACATCACAGAGAGGTCACACACAAATTTTCATAATTTTTGGAGCTCTAAATAAATCTACACAAAAATAACAAATTACAACACTATTCAATCATTTCTGAAAAAGGAAAATTTCATTTTCAAATCACCCGCTCACACAAACAACTCGGGAAGAACCAGGAAATCACACAAACAACTCGGGAAGAACCAGGAAATCACCCAAACAACTCGGAAGAACTAGGAAATCACACAAACAACTCGGAAGAACCAGGAAATCACACAAACAACTCGAAAGAACCAGGAGCTCACCCTGAACGCGACTGAGTAGAGAGCAAGACCGGAGGAGCCACAGAGGAGCAGTTCGACGTGTACAGCACCCACGGCGGAACAACGGTCGTCGGTGGTGGCGCTTCGACGACTGAGGTGGTCAAAACGAGCAATCAACAAGGTATTAAGCACCACGTTATCAAGGCGAAACTAGAGAAACCAAACACAAGGACAGAGGTGCACCGTGGAGCTCTGGCCACGGCAACGCGCTCGCGACGGCGGCGCTACCGGCAGTGAAGAAGAAGACGAAGAGCGGCGTAGCCCGGCGAAATCAGGCAACCCAAGCGGGATGGCTGGATGCGCAAGGAGCAGGCGAAGCTGGAACAAGCGTTGCTGAGACGGTAACAGCGCTAGGTCGACGACAAAGGCTCGACGAAGCAGCGGCGGTGGTGACGGGAAAAAATAGAGGAAGAGAAAACGAAGAACGGTGACGGCGTAGTCTTTATAGCTCGGCCAAGAAGCAAGCAGAAGCCACGCAGGAGCCCTTCCCCACGCCAGCGCGACGCCAAAGACGGCCACGACGCGCCTGGAACGCCGAAGAAGATCGTCGGCCATGTAGCTTAGACGGTGAACACTGTTCACAGTAATTACAGAATTGTCATTCGTTTAAAATTCTAAATTACTCCCAAATCTATATAACAACTCAAAAATCTCCAAAAATAAAAGTTGTTCAAAATCAAAAGTTCTACAACTTTGCTTTTATAACCACCCCCTAATTGGGTCAACATTTTGAAATGCAATTTTGAATTCAAAAAGGAGACATTTAAAGAATTATGTCTTTTCAAATTACTCCAAATTTTTCTAAACAACTTTGAAAACTCCAAAAACAAACTTTGTACAACTCAACAAGCTCTACATTTTTGCTTTAAGGCTCAACCCCAAAATGTGCTTCGATTTTGAAATGGGTTTTCCAGGTCAAAACTTAAAGGCCGAAATTAGGGTTTTCGAAAATCCCAATCCAAACAAAACTTGGAACATGATTCAATTACTACAAGGCAACACTTATAACACAAATATAAACTTGTTTTAGTGAATGCATATCAAAGTTCTCAATATGACCAAATGCTTTGCAATGCATATGATGACATGACAGTTTTAGTATTTATAACACCCGGGGTGTTACATCCTCTGAGCTATATAGTGCTCAGTTTGGCAAGTGTGCACCACACCTAACATATTAGACTCACCTAGGTCAAGCTACTAGTTCATACTCCCCTTCATAGTATGGCCAAAGGAAAAACAAAGTCCTAAACTACCCTAAGTTTTTCTCAACACCAAACGACACTTAGAACTAGTTCGTCCTTAACCTTGTCCTCCATCCTTTGAAAACTAAAACGATTTTCATCGACAGGGGCATGAAAACCATTGATTGCCCAGAAAATCACTATTATTATGACCTAACTCAAATTGCCTCTGTAAACACACGTTAATCATAATAATCTTATATCGTTATTAGTCACAGAAACCAACTAGGGGCCTAGATGCTTTAAACCATCGTCCTTCCCACCATAGCCATCGCCACCACCACCTTCTGCAACATCATCTTCCGTACCATCATGCATCATGACAAGATGGGCATCGCCATCTTCCCTTACTTCTGGTGTGCAATCACTTTCTGGTTGCTTGCTTCTGTACGCCTCTCACTATGATGATCCCAAATCGTGTAGTTCTCTATGAAACCCCTTCTTACTAAGTCTGATTTTATCGTATTTGGATCGTGACATACTATACGGTTCCGACAGTCACAACAGGAATAATATATATCTTTTATCTGCTTAATCAAAGCGTGTCTTTTAGCGGCTTCAATAAAACCATTCACATCTTATACGTAGGAAGCTTCATGCCTTCGTTTTGTGTACATCCATGACCTGTCCATATGTGGTCTTTGAAAAGAAAAGGTATATTTGCATCAAGATATTATTTCGCATATAAATCTTGAAGGAATTGTCTAATTTTTTGTACAAATATTATATTATTCTAGACCTAGAGCTTTAAAATAATATAAAAAAGCTATGAACCAAAAATGACAAAGTAAATATACAAATTAACCAAAGTTCATGTGAGCCAAGTAAGTTGGGCAAAAAATCAATCTAAATTGCTACGAAAAATAAAAAAATCAAACATCATGCATATCTCTCTAGATCTACATGAGAACAGAAAATCAGTGAAAGAAATATATAAGTAAAGTTTGAAAAAGAAATGTATAACCTCTCAAAAAGTTTGGAAAAGGAGCTATTTCTCTCCGCTCAATAATTATGCTCAAAAAATCACGAGGAGGGAGAATTATGTTATTTTTTGGTGACTAAGAGCACCAAATGGAAATCTCTAAGAGAACCGTCTCTCCGGTTTTATATTTGGCACACATAGAAAAAAATTTGAACGGTTTTTTTTCTAAGTCGGTCGCCTCTATTGGCATCATTGGGAGAAGTTGAAATTTCCTTCCCTTAGATGGCACTAAAAATTTGAACTTTCATTTGGGGCTCCCTAGAAGCACCTACGTCCATTTAGGCTAGATAGGCTAGTAAGCGCAAGTGACCTGGTAAAATAACATGAATGCCCTTCTTTGTAGCAGAAATACATGATGCCAAATGGGAAAATAATAGATGGACATGTTGTTAAATAAGAAAATTATAAATATCATAAATATATTGTGAACTAAAACATGGGATTTTGATAATCGAAGTCTGCAAATAAATAAATAATAAATTTCAAATTCTAAGGCAAGAGCAGGTCCCGCTGGGGTAGGCTTAGCACGGGAGGAATTTGCCCTGTCTAGTTAGCTTGGTCAGAATGTTTTTGATGCAGTTTAGCAGCTCGCTCATCTCAGTTTGGTCAGTCCTATATTCTTGTCAGATCATCGCAAGACATGAAGACAGCAACAAACAGATATTTCTCCACAAATGCTTAGAATAGTATGGATTTGAGCATCCGGTGTCACAGCTAGCCAATCATCTAGAGTTCTCCACAATTGAACATCAGAAGTATACAAGTACTTATATTTCTCGCTCAATCACCGAAACTACGATTACTCGTCCCTCAATGTTTGTGGTCACGATTTACATGTCGATAACTTTGACTCAATTTATAAAAAATACATATAATATTTCTATCTCCAAATATATTTATTAAAAAACTAAATTTAAATATCTATCCAATGATACTAATTATGTATCATAACTATTAATAATTTTTAATATATATTTAGCCAAAATTGTTTTTCGAGAAGCGAAAACGACTAACATTTAGGGACGGAGGGAGTATTCAATAAAGGACTTCCATGGGGGCATTGCTTGTCTTCCCAAACTTTTGGATATGAAGTCGGGGTTAGCACAAAAAAAAAAGCATTGCAAATCTTAGAAATAACAAGTGCAAGAAAACTCTATCCTGTTCCATGTCCAAGAACATGCTGTTAGCAACCTGTAGCTGACTGTAGAGAATAGAGGGGAATTAGAACAACAGCAGTAGGAGCTTAGGGATTTGGGAGGAAGATGAACAGTGGAGAGAGAGGACTCGAGAGGAAGGAAACCTGTTTGTATTCTGTTGTTTGATGATCTTTCCAGCTGGTGCTCCTGCGCTCTTGTAGGTGACGGCCTGTGGTCCACGCCAATGTTCGACTATGCCAAGGCCAAGGCCCATTACCCATATGACGGACTATCCATGAGTAATCACTGACATTCCCCCCTTCTTAAGCTTCGGCTTGCCCCCAAGCAGATGGAAAAGATCGGAACCACCGGGATCCCAAGGAAACTGGATAATCATGTGTTTCTTCAATTCCTTCTAATGAACAGTGGAGTACCAAAAAGATCATGAAACAAACACTCGACAACTCTGCTCATGTGTATGTTCCAAATCAAGCAGCCAAGCCCCACCTCCTTATCAAAAGTTACAGGCCAGTACAAGCTGAACAATGCCAGAATGCACTGCAAGTTCCGGTACCCATAGACAGAAGCAATAGCCAAAAAGAGAACCCATGGAATTCCATGGCCTGATGATCGATCAACCAACTCCCATATTCTCACTGGAGTCCCATCGATCAATTTTACTATGATGAGTTCAGTAGCACGAAGAAGACGAGGAACATGTTCAGAAGATTGATGTTTCAATGTTGTCATCATCGTGACATGAACAGAAATCTCATTCTAGGGCTTGAATCCTTGCCCTGCCACTACTTTAGTTTGGTAGGAATAGAACAATTTCCTTGTTACTGCTCCCAGACCACCACCACCACTGATTAGCCGTCGAACTGAAGGTAAGCATTGGGGCGTCCAAGTCCATGGGGGCTTCCAAGGAAAACAGAAATACCAAATCATCCAATAACCATCAACCATACTGAAGAACAACCAAGGCAGCAGAGTCAAAATATGCATGTCGCTCAATAGCAGAAGTAGCAGAGGTGGAGGCCCTGGTTGACGCTGGAAAAGCACTAGACATTCAAAAGCTTCATCAATATCCCTTAGCCGATTACCTTAAAGCAAGAAACACCGACACTTGCCACCACACTTCCGCTGTACTAGCTCTGGAATCAGTGCATAGCCAACCATACTCACTGATAGCACCAATATACATGTCAGAAGCTCCTTGTTGAACTTGTCTACTTGCCCTGCAGGTTTGAGTAATTCATGGCAATGCTGCCCACATTGGACCACACGCTCAATAATTTTCCATTTAAAATACTTGTGTGGTAAAGATGGCTCTGTGAGCTGCCAAAATTGACTGAAACACAACTTATGAGTATTCAACAAGAGCCCCCCTAATACTGTGTTACTGACACTCAACTCAAACACCCCCAAAAAATCAGCTGCACATGAGGAATGTTGTATTGCCTTACCAAACAGTTGGAACCAGGTACTTTCTGTAACAGGGGCAAGCAGTATACTAGCACCATTATGTAAGAGAAAATTCATGTTACGTACAGTCCCACAAACACATGCAAGTAGTGGCCAATGGACCTTGAACCAGATACAGTCCCAGTTCATCACCAGTATCCTGACTCTTCTAGCTGTAATGAGATGCAAACGAAAGAGAGGTCCCGCAACTGCGCACTCTGAATTGTAGCAAAGCCACTTGATAAGGTCTGCCACTTGAACTGTATTACCAATGAAAGATGGCCAGGGTGTTAGCCTAAGTTGAACTCCATTGCCCTGCATCCCAAACTGCTCCAGTGGCGGCCATGGTTGCCTATGCTGCACTGCATCCCAGCTACGACAGGATAGAGGCGAGAAACGGCTCTGTATGCTCTTGTCAACTAAGGATTGAGCTGAGGGTACACAGTCAGTACATAGCATGTTTGACATATGCACCTGATCTGGCCTGGGGAGGCTGCCCTGTGGCCAGTGCGCCGGGAGCCGCTGCCGCACCGCCTCTGCCATGCTGCTGGCTAGCCAGAGGGGCCGCGCCGCCTCCGCCACGCCGCGGGCTGGCCGGAGCGTCGGCCCCGCCGCCGCGACCGTGCCGCGGCCTGGCTTCGCCGGGTGAGGTCGCCCCGCCAGAGGGCACGCGCAGTTGGTGCTGGGCGCCGTCGGCCGCAACATCCTCTGCTCCATCATCCTCTCCTCCCCCTTCCATCAATCTAGGGTTTGGTGTTTTTTTTCCAGGGAAGAAGGTCACGGACTCACAGAAGACAGGAGCGCTCGGTCGCTCGGGAAGTCTAGGGAGAAATTGGATGCGTGAGTAACAGAGGGTATGTTGGTCACACTAAGAAAAAACCGACACGGTCAAAATAGTCAACTAACAGATGAATGGATGAAATGGACGGTAATGCCATATAGAGAAGGAAATTTTAACTTGGTGCCAGATAAGAAAGTTCAAATTTTTAAGTGACAAATACGAAAGACTGATTTGTTTCAGTGCCAAATACATAATTCTCTCGAAATCATTTCTGTGCTCAAGTAAATGGGGGCCTGATTTAGGGTGTACTGTTTGGGACTGGAGTTGAGAAATTGAACCTGCAAAAGACAGCTTCTTATTAACATCCAACCTAGTCAGTAAAGCTATCATGAGTTAAGTCGTTTTTCACCTGCCATGTCCTTCAATTCACAACAGTAGTAATAACTTTGCCCTCCCATTAACATCCAACTTAGGCCATGTTTAGATTGCAAAAAATTGCAACCTGATGAATAGTAGCGTTTTCGTCTTATTTGGTAAATATTGTCCAATTGTGGACCAACTAAGCTCAAAAGATTCATCTCGTGATTTCCAACTAAACTGTGCAATTAGTTATTTTTTTTACCTACATTTAATGCTCCATGCAAACGGCTAAAAATTGATGTGATGGAGAGAGAGTGAAAAAACTTGGAATTTTGATGTAAACTAAACAAGGCCTTAGTCACTAAATCTATCAAACTGTCCGGTGTTTCAGATTAAACTAGATTTGTATTATACAATTCAGAAAATATAAAATAACCTTTAACATGAGCTAGACGGTCAAGCTTGCCTAGTTTTCACAGTTTTGATGATCAATGATATCTGATTTTGAGTTTTTTTTTACAACAAACGATTTTATTTCAACGGCATCTTGCTTGTACAGATTTTGAGTTGAGGGCTAGTTGGAAGGTCAAATATATATGTAGACTTAAAAATTTATTGAGGAAGCCTAGTTGAAAACAAGTTCAACGTTTTATGTGTTTTTTTTGTAAGTTGCATCTCAAGACAGCGGTTACGAAAGATAAAACCGACAACCACTAGTGAATCCGCAAAATATTATTATAATAGGATTTCGTATATGGAAACTCGCAAGTCATAAGATTAAGAATTTACAAAACGTCAGCATAGTAAAGGTATTTTCCCTGGCTGTTTAAGTGTTTAGAGTACTACTAGTACAGGGAACACAGAGTGGGCACAATCTGCTTTATAAATTCAAAGAAATAACACTTCAATACAGTCGACGCTGCAATTACCTGAATAAACTGCACAATATTGTGCACAGGTATAATAATAAAAGTGAGAGGCAACGCTGCAATTACCCGAGAGTCAGAAACTTGGGGAATTCCGATGCAAGGAAGTGTCCGAAGTATTTCAGTTTTGTCTTGACCAGGTCAGCATCATCAGTTGAAAGATCATCCTTCGACTTGATGTATGTAACAACCGATCCCTGCACTTGATTGTCAGTCAAGTCAACCGCAACTAGCGAGATGCTGCAAATCACCCAATCGAACAACACGAGGTGCACAACATTGGGCATATCCAAACTCAGCAGCGGGACCATCATAACCTCGTGTGGGAGACGACACACATGGGGGTTTGCAGCATCCTCGATCCACACCCACGACAGACCCACTGCGTTCTGTCGTCGTTCTGGGTTGCCGCCAATGTCCCCAAGGTTACAGTGCAACCAGTGCCGGACGCCATGGGGCCGAAACCCTTCCCGTCATTGCGCGCAAAGTCAACGAGTACCAACCGGCGGCCACCTTCGGTACTAGCCAAATTTGATAAGAGCACACAAATTTGAGATGTTTTAACTCTCAAAAAAAAATAGATTGACTTATAATTTAGAATGAAGAGAGTAGTTCATTAGTTAATGAAAAGAGGTGTTAATGGATGGTAACAGTTGATATACACCTCTAGCCAACTATCCAATCACCTATTAGGAGGTACTAAATCCATTCCAAATTATAGTTTGTTTGACTTTTTTTTGACCCTAAGTTTGACCACTCGTCCTATTCAAAAATTTATGCAAAATATTATTTGGCTTGCTTTATTAACAAAAGTTCTTCAAAAATAACTTAAATTTGACTATGTTTGTACAATTTTTTTTTGAATAAGACGAGTGGTCAAACTTGGCGTCAAAAAAGTCAAACGAACTATAATTTGGAATGGAGGGAGTAGATCCAAACAACATACATTGTTAACTATTAGCTAATAGTTAGTAGCTGTTAGCTAACTAACTTTTAGTAATCCGGATCCAAACAAGGCCTAATCATTGTATTTAACTATTTATATATGATTTTGTGTGCTCAACTTTCAACACTTTGAAAGAAGAGTTTCAAAAATTCATAATGTGTTTCAGGTTTTTCTAAAGTTGTTCACATTTTGTGAATAATGCTGGAATGTTATATTTGAGATGTTGCAATAGCATTATGGAAGCCCATGAAAAGTACTCGTTTCAAAATACAATATGAACAAAAAACTGTACAGATCTGTGTGCTAAACAACATTGTCATGAATATTAGGGTAACACAGCATTATGTACGTTTTCTGTAAAACAATGTACAAAGTCCGGCTCACTGTCAGAGGTACACCACATAACTGCAAAGCCTGAACAGAATATGGCACCCATTCCACACTCAACATTTTCTTACATGAGGTGCTCCCTAAACACGCATTGGACAAGAGTGAGATACAAGTGCTACCGTCACATCAACAATCCCAGTTAATTACAGTGTTTCCAAAACAACCGTTCTTGGGTGTCATCTTTCTAACGCTATCCTGGAGAAATTGGAACGTGCCTGGAGAAATGTGAGCTCTGTCCATTGTATTTACCTTCGGCGCCTCCAGTATCGACCTTGGAGGCGACAAGGCCCACTGCATTGCCCAGATTGCAAGGGGGCGCATATATATCAGTGACCTGTAGTGACCGTCAATTGTCCATGCTTCTGGAGTTTGGAACCAGTACCTGAATTTGTTTCAAGGAAATTGATTATTAATTATTAGCAGAATAGATCGAATGAAGTGGCTCCATTTCTGTTACAAGATAGATTGATGACTCTACCAAATCCAAGAAAGTGTGGTACCCATAAAAGAACTAAATCTATTGCCAAGAACAAACAGAACATTACAATAAATGACCAGTTTTACTTAAGGACTTTAGGGAAGCTATGATTTTGAGATTTAAACAGCTATTTGAAGAAACAAAAATAGGCTTTATATAATGACTCTCGAACATCATATACCAAAGGAGAATGCACAATAACATCAAAACCCTTTATGACTATGTCACACATTACTTGACATTTGGATATCTCAAAGAAGCTATGTGAGAATCCATTCATATTACTGTACATCTCATGTACTCCCTCCACCCAAAAAAGAGTGCAATTCTAGCTTTTTCCAAAGTCAATCAGTCTCAAGTATGACTGAATCGATAAAAAAAATATTTCATTAGATTAATCATGGAATATGTTTTCATAGTAGAGAGACATTAATGTTGATACTATTTTCAATAAACTTAAGAAAATTTTACAAGCCAACCCTAGAATTGTACTTTTTTTAGACTGAGGGAGTATTGGGAAAAGAAGCATTACCCATAGCCCTCTTCAGACCATCCTGCTATATAAATGCCTTCTGCAGCAGTGAAGGCCTGATGCTCCATTCCATGGAGAAGCATCGTTGCTGCTAAACTATATGTTACTCCTGTCCAGATTTCTCTTGACTGCATACAGGTTTCATCTACCTTCCCATTTGGATGCATACCATTCACGGCTCCCATACGTCCTCCTTTCACCCTCATCACATTATAGTCAAATATTTTCTGAAGCGTGCATTTTATCCTATCCTCATCAAATAGAGGAGGTAAACCTGACGATGATGTATACCATTGTCCAGCCAGCTGATCTGCCTGGATGGAACGGCTATTATAACTTGTACCACTGTCATAATTGAAGTATGAACTATTCCATAACCTGGCTTCAAATACAGATTTAGCTTTTGCAAATCTTGTCATGCACCTCTCAGCATAATCAGCATGTCCAAGGCTTCGGGCCAGTGCCGCTGCAGCTTGAAGGGCAGCAAGCCAGAGGCAACCACAATACGCACTTACTCCTTGAACTGTCCAAGCATCGTAAGTTTGATCAGGAAATCCATCATTTTCAATCATGCCATCACCATCATGATCAAATTGTTCCATGTATTCCATAGCAGTACAGACTGCAGGCCAGACATCCTTGCCAAATGACTTATCACCTGTTGCAGCAAAATCCCTGTAAATCTGAAGCACGAACTTGGGATTAAGATCTCCATCTACTTGTGTCATGTATGTTGTAAGCATTCAATTCATGCCAAGGATCATGTGCTCCAAGATCATGGGCGACAGCACCGATTACTTTACGAATACCCCAGGTACCATCAGCAAGAAATCTGACTCTTCTGTTATCTTCCCGCAAAACAGCTCTAGCAAAATCACGTTGAATGCTCAATTCAATCTTAAGAAACAGATCCAAAAGAGCAAAGGAGGCATAGAAGTGTACATCATAGGTGCACCACATGAAGTATTCTATTCCTTCAAGGTACAAAAACTTCCCAACATTTTCTTTGTCATCGATCTCATGTGGATCAAAACCGATGAGTGGAACTGTAGAATTGCATGTGCTATCATGAAATGGCAAATTACTGTCTTCTGGGGGACTTGGATTCAACTTGTTATCAGCATCAGACACCAAAGATTCACTATCTGTCATGTACAGAAAAAAAAATGATTCACCATCTGTGAGTAACAAATACAGATACCAAAATTGTAAAAAGAAGACCAAAATATTAGTAGTTGTAAAAAATGAATATGTAAAAAAATTAATCATTTTTTGTATTATCACCTTCTAAGAGAGAAGATATAATCAGACCAAAAATTGACCATCCAAAATATCAGAACAATGGGACTTGTATGCTCAGTGTGCTCTTGGATCAATCTAATATTATGTTCTTCATTTCTTTGTCCAAAAGCAATTTGATCTTTAAAAACGACAAAATTTACAAGCAACGCTTTCATTGTTACAGAATGTTTTTTTGGTGAACATGGAACAATGAAAAAAACGCAATTCACATATTGCCTATCAATTTTATACTGTTGTCCAAAAGACACCACTCAAACAGAAGGTAAACAGAGGATGATTTCTTAGAAAATACTAGGTTAATTATTGCCGAAATCCAGTAATGTGTATACCAATATCATTCAAGCTCATTGTGTTACTTGCAGACCTAAATATGGCGAATAGGACAAAATTGGAAGGGAAAAGTGTAACAATATGCAGAGATTAGTACCAATCCAAACGGTTCCACCGGCAACTAGGAAGTACAGCTCATTAAAGAGCGTAATCTTGTACCTGCAAGAGTTAAAGATGATAAAGTACATACATCTTACCATGCAGATCAAAATCTAATAATACCAAACTAAATCATATGGTCTCTACAGAAAATATAAAGTACAAGCATGAATTTCACATAATTGATAATCAGGAAGTACAAATATGTCAGAAGCAATCAAACCAGTGCAAGTCATGCACAGCACAAGCACGTACCATTCTGGAAGCCTCTCATCTCGGAGAATCGGGGTCTGCCACTTATCAATCGCTTCTTCCCAATGCTTATACTCTGAAAGTCACATTAATATCGAGTAAGAAAATAACTAGTAGAGAAATAAATACACCACAAATTAAAGGAAGCAGTAGAATTAATGAATGAATCAAACCAGAATATTCAAATATGAGGAAAGCTAAAAGGTATAATCATATATGTTAAATTCATGACACGACTTGGGAACAAAAGTATATGTTGTGCAATATATGTTTACAGGAAACATACTCATCAAAGTGTCCTCTACCAAATCGACGGCTGATCTTGGAGAAGTTCCATAGAACTTTGTATATCTCCTGTTAGCCAGCATGAACTAAATCTTATTTGTAACACCCTAAAAATTGCTCTTTTTGAAATAGGGTTAAAAAGATTTAATTTGGTATTTTTGTGCTCATAAAAACATAGGAAATAATAATTTTCATTAAATTAAAATTTATCATAAGGCTTAGCAACATTTTTGTGCATTCATGCTGGCCCATATGTTTTATTGTACTGTGTGGATTTGACCAAAGTTCAAATTATTTCAAACTAAGTTTGAAAATAGAATTCAGAAAAAGAAAAGAAATAAAAAGAAAAAAAACCCTCCCTCTTTCATTTCTGGCCCGAGCGGCCCAGTTCTCCCCCTCTCTGTTCTCGGCCCAGCAAACCGGCCCGCTCCAGTTGTTCCGCCGCGGCCCGCTTCCCTCTCTCCGCAATTGGCCGGCCCAAGCCATGCGCAACAGCCCAGCGAGCCCGCACCGCGCCCATCTCTCCGCTTTTCTCTCTCCCTCGCTGACAGGCGAACCCCACCGGTCAGCGTCTTCATCTCCGAGTCGCCTTCGTCTTCCCCGCACGTATTCGAGCCGGAGTCCACCGCCCGACTCCGCCGCCGCCATGCCTCGTCTGCCTTGCCGTGTGCGCCAAGATGCTCCCGGGGCCATAAATAGCAGCCGCCCGCACCGCGCCTCTCCCCATCCCGTTCTAAGCCGCAGCCGCCTCGCCGAGTCGCCGCGTGCCGCAACCCTAGCCGCCATCCATCGCCGCTAACCGGCTTCACCGCCGTCAATCGTTGACCAGAGATGTTCCCGAAGCTGCGCACGACGGTAAGCAAGACGCCCGTGCAGTCCGTGCCCTTCCCCTCTCTCTCTCTCTTTCACGTTTTAGAGCTCGTCGGAGTACCACCGTAGTTTCCGAGCCGCCCCGTCGTCGTCACCACCGTCTCCAGTGCCTTAACTCCTTCGTCGACCTCACAGATGAGTTCGCAGTAGCCTCCGCCGTCGTCCCGTGTTTTTCCCGTGGCTTTTGGATGTCTAGTTTGGAAACCCGAGTGTCGCCAGTGACTCCCTCGCCGTCGACCATGGCGCGCCGCTGTGCCAGAGCGCCGCCCCGGCGACCATCTCTCCTCGTATGCCGCAGCCGTCCATCTCTCCACCAACGGCTCGGATTAGATCGCTGTGTACCGGTTCGTCTCCAGTGCACAGCACAGTATGGACCAAGCGCACCATCCGCGTCAGCGGTTCACCGTAGACTAGCCACTCAGAGACCGCCACCTGTCACCACGTGTGCGCCACGCCAGCAACCGCGCTGACTGCGCGGATATTTTGCTAAAGAGACCCCAGCTTTTACAGAAATCAACCCGCCGTCCTGAGTAGTTCAAAAGTAATTAAAAATATGCCCCTGGTTTATCTGTTTTGACTCCTGGACTTTTCCAAAAACAATGCCATTTAATTCGGTTTTTAATTATTTTTAATACGGAATTGATTTCAAAATATTTACAGAATTGCCATTGATCTTATTTTATGCGTAGTTTCTCCGTTTTAACTCCGATTTGATCCATTCGAGTTGCGTTAGATTCGTAGTTGAGTAATCTACATGTTCAAGCTACTGTTAAACATGTTTTCAACTTTTGGAATTCGAGGTTAGATTTAATCTATTATTTTATTAAAGGAATCTTGTTTAATTCATAACCTCTTCGTTATAGCTCCGATCAAAGTGTTTTTCACGTCTGTGTGTGCGTAGTAACGTGTAGAACATCTTTAAAACCTTTTTACTTGCTGTTTATTATGTTTGGTGTGATGCTCTAATTTAGATCTATTGTTTGCTTCGTGTATGATTGCATGGATGCTTGTGTGGTGCTTTATGATCATGTCCATTCGGTGAGCTTTGTGTTGGTGATATAAAAGAAGTTGGTGATCCAGAAGCAGTCCTTTGAAGGTTACAATTCAATAGAAGAAGGATCTGAGTTTAAGGCAAGTATAGTATGGGATCTTCTTTGTTGTCCTATACACCTTTAATCATTTAATTCATACTGCATGTGTCTACCTTGACTACCACTAAGGATTTTCTAGTACTTTGTACCTTGTGCCTTGATACCTATGGGGTATTGCATTGGTTAGTATGATGCTAGTGCTCAACTACAACCATGATCTTATAACTTGACTAATGGTATATGCAATAAACACTAAAAGATGCTTTTTAGCAACATGGAACAAGGGGGCTAGAGCATTGGGTTGTTTTTATGGTGCTCTAGATTACTCTCCCTAAGGACTTATCTGTAAGCGAACATCCGGGACTTACAGTACAAATGTGAGGGCTATATGGCTCTGGCTTTAACTCAGTTTGAGGATATTTTCTAGCTTGTTAGTGGCTCCCTTTATTGGCGTAAGAATGACTTGACGAATCGGGTATAGTGCGGCCTCTGTCCCCTTGTGTATAGGCTGCGCGTCATTATGCCATCGGGAAGGGGGGCTCTATATCTGTTTGCCGAGTGAATCTAATGGCACTAACTTGTTAGATGAACCTTTGAAAGGCTTCATAGTAAACCCTGCCGACCTTCCTTGGTAGTGGGTCAAGAGGCTGATCACCTCGGGCGAAAGGGTAAATCACGACTCACAGTGAAAGTATACAACCTTTGCAGAGTGTAAAACTAGTATATCAGCCGTGCTCACGGTCACGAGCGTCCTTGGACCCTTACGGAATAGATAATGAATACTGATGATAAAGATGCTTACTAATGATTACTGTTTATGCTGTTCATTATTCATGTTTACCTGATCATGTGTTTATATGGGCTTGTGAATAAACTTGTTGCCACCCAATTGCTAAAAGATGACTCATTAAAAGCTAATCGCAGTTAAACCAGTGTCAGCCTTTTGAGCCTCATAAACCCATGATATATTTGTTGAGTACGACATGTACTTACGCTTGCTTTACTTTTTAAATTTTTGAAAAAAAATCTCGGATGGATACCAGATTGCTAGAGTTTGAAGTTAGGCTTGTGATCAACCAGTCAGTTGTCCCTGTGGAATTGGAGTCTTCACCCGAAGATCGAGTTGTCTTTCCGCTGTTTGCTATCTAAGGTTATATTCTTTATACTAAGTACGTTATATATTGAGCATTGTCTATTGATATTACCCTTATTTGTAGCTATATGTGAGATTTGACTTCCTGGGCTCACATATGGCGTGTATCTGGTTTTGCTCTTAAAATCGGGTGCTACATTATTAAAGTAGCAGAAAACTAGGAATCCATGAGTTTTGCTATCAATAATACAAACCACATCACTACAGATACCTTAATGAAAGATAGAAGTGTTTAGCTCATAGAAGTATTATCAATGTTTAGCTCTTGTCAAAAGATAAGCTGATTAACAGACTATTTAGTATTTAGAGTCTATGCACTGCATAGTAAAAGCTGAATGGCAAATGGAGGAAAAGATTAACAGAGTGCAAAGACTATTCCCATTTGCATTGCCCAACAACTTCAAGGTTTGAATGAAAGGAATCATAAAGTGTTTTTAACAAGTGCTCTGAGTTGTGTCGATCTTGGATGCGTCATGATTAACAGTTGTCACCAAATAAAAGTTAGGAATAAAGAACTTACCTGTAGTATGTACTCCCCTTTTTAAACTTAACCTTAGGAGAAGACCAAGCCAATGCAAATACAACTGTACATCTTCCATGTGGTTCAACCCAGGTGGAAGCAGAAACTGCTGCACAAACTGTATCGCCCAGCAAACAAGGCATGCTGGGACCAGCATTGAAATTATCTCGGTCAAAGGAACCATCCTTTAAACAATTAAACAATCAGATGGTATGATATGCACCCACAGTCATCGAAATGGCAAACATTTGGTTATTTCAAAACAGTTCCACAGAAGGTTAGCCTTCTATGCATACAATAATCTTATCTAAAACAGGGAATTGCAGGCAGGGAAAAACAAGGAAGAAAAGTAAAGATCACCTGGACCATTGTGCCCCACATTTCCCTAGCAGTAACAGAACTTTCTCCAGAAAGCCCAAAAACAGGCAATACTGTGACATTTACATTTTGATTTTCACATGCCGCAATTGCAAATGTTACAGGAGGATTGTTATTGGCTGTCCTGCGATGTTATTAATAGAGAATCAATGCTAGTCTTTAAGTAACAAAAAAATCATGTTGGAAAATATATGCTGAAAACACCATGTATTGAGCCATAGTTTCTTTAGTTTTTAGGCAGAGAGTATGGATGACTTTAGATCAGCTATAAGTGCTTAGTTTCAAGATTGGACTAATCTGAAATATCCAAGGAAGTTCGCCAAAAGAAGAATAGAAAAGGAGTGATCAGTTGTTGACTTGCTTGTGATGTAGAAGAACACCAGAAACTCCATTTTTTCCTCTGCATGTCAAACAGAACACAAATCATTTCACTACATGGAGCACTGGCAATAGAGAACATATTAAGCTTTTGTGACATCATACTAACATGAATGGCTCATTTACGTGACCCCCAGAATGATGTGAAAGTCCTCCTATAGAATTCTAGCATAGCATCAAGAATAGAACATGATCAGATCCAACATATCATAAAATACAAATTTGGTGCAAACACCCAAGGAAAAGTAGTAGCTAGTACCGCCCAAGTCATCAATAGGCTAACTTTTGCCCTTTCCTTTCCAGTATTCACTAGCTGCAAAATATCAGTAAGAAAAGTAAGAATGATGCCCTTGCTCGAATTGGAAGCTAGATCTTGGAGGCTGCTGTTCGTAGCTCAAGGTCATGTGTGTTTCTTTGTTAAACTGTGAGTGTGTTGGGCTTGTGCAGGTTCTAAAACCCTTTCTTCTTAATATAATGATACACAGCCTGCGTGCTCGAGAAAAAAAAAAAGGTGAAAAACTACAGTTAATATTAAAAAATATTTGATCAACGGGAGAGATATCCCCTTGACTTTAGTCTTAAGAAGGGGCCCACCGAACCTGGGAAACAGGCAGGAACCTCACGCGTGCACGCTTCTTTGGCAGCCGCGGAACCATCTGCGTTGTTTCAACCAGGGAGGTGGCAGGGATCAAACCCTGGTGGGGAACTCCACACCTCATGTGCTCAATCACTGCGCTATCAGCACGTCTAACTACAGTTAATAATGCAACAATAGTCACAGTTTAGTGACAATGCCAGTATGCCTCAGTGATTAAAGAGAGTTATGGATACTCTCACCGGCTCCATAAACATAAATAAGTTGGTATGCAGAGAAACATAGGACTATTTAGAGCAAAGATTTTAGATTCACAGCTATATGAAACATAAAGTCAATGTTGTATTTTCATCAAATTTACTCTGGAAAAGAAAATGAAGACTTACAGAATATACAAAAACAGAGGTAGGAAGACTGCTCTCTTGGTAATCATGGGGAATAAATGGAGATATTTGACGGCAGGATACCTTCAGTTCAGGATCTGGCTCGCCTTTAAACCAAAAGAATAATAACATGTGAACCTCATTGCATGTTTGCAATATTTTAAATGGTGTGCTACTTATTGAAGTAGTTAGCAATTATTCATCCTTGCCCAAATGAATATTTTTACAAATCTTTAGAAGTATCCTTCAAAAGTGACCACTGGATGTTCTGGGTCTGTTTCAGGAATTATTTTTATCTTTCCAATTTTCAATAATGTTTACTTTTTTCTATTTTTCTGTACGTCTGAATTTTTGTGCGCAATTAGTATTGACCTAGTGGGAATGGCCGAAAAAACGAATATAGATGGAGCAGTGGTAAAAGAGATGGTGGAAATTTCGTGATAGTGTGAAGGAGATTAGATCTCAAACTAATAGCAAAAGAAATATTTTCTCAGAAATAATAAGCATCATTACCATCATAAACAGTCCATTCTCGAGGAAACAAAGCATGATATGTTGAACGATCGCCCTTTAATTTCCAGTCCCAGGACGATATACCATCATCAGTAGATTTCCTAAGGACCAGAAAATTGAATAGAGGATAATTTCAGGTTGAATTGGTACTAGAAAAAGGAAGAAAGAAAAAGAAAGCTGGATGAACTTAGGAAAGTATAAATTAACTGAATATATACAGTGATAAGACTAGAGCAATTCTCTTTCAAAAAAATAAGACCAGAGCAATATCTTGATATCCTACCATGGACGATTCATACACCCATCCAGTCCTATGCATAGAAATATCATGTACAAACATGTGGGCCATACCACCACTAAAGCGGAAGAATATTGTTTGTGTGTTTGTCTCTAAGTGCTAGAGCCTGGCTATTGTGTGGGTGTGCAAGTGTGTCATGTCTTTGTACTGAACTTCTCTTCTTCTTAATTGAGCGGCAGACCTCCTGCCTTTTCGTTCAAAAAAAATCCACCATAAAGCGGAAGAATACCCTTCTCCCATAAAATCCTGGACAAACCATATATTTTCTCACCAAACTCTACTTTTCTCAAGCACCCCATAAAAATCTCTAAAAAATCCACCACCCACAATAAACACATTAACTTATAACGATTGTTAGTCCTATAATTCTCCATTTTTCCTAGCAGAACTTTTACCTACATCTAACATAAATACTTTCCATGGTTTCATGCCATTCCCTATTCATCTGCTAGTCAACACCACCAAACAAAGCTACAGAAGGCTATGGCATAATCAGGCTTGGTCACTGCCTAACGAGGCCACTTTTCCCTATCTCAATTTGGCCATAAGCAGCACATATGAGCTCAGCAAAATAAGCCATCTGTGTGGCAACACAGCATGCCACGCAGTGGCATGGCCAACAGCATGGACGCATGGTATAGACCAAACATATTGACATGAGAGAGGAACTATGTGGATCAGGGCACAGCTTAATCAGGTGGAAATGTAAAGCAGACATTGCAGTACAAGAGGAGCTCAAGAATTGCTGCTCAGCATGCAGGGTAATGATACGTCCAGTCAACAATATATGACATTTCAGACCAAGAAAACAAGCTGTTCATATATTGTTGACTTGAGGTAGTATAAATATTTTAATCCGTAGAAAATCTGAAAGTATTTACCCTAAGAAAAATAAAACACAATGGTGGCACATTAGAAAATGTCATATCCTTCTTGCAAATAGAAATGCTAATGAAGATTACAAATATGATAAATGAATAGTACAACATCACTTGCACATATATTCTTAGTTGTGAAAAATGAAGAGAACATTCCAGAGTTATGTCTATTTTGGGGAAAAATACCAAGCATAAGACAATATAAATTAAATAAACGTGGAAAATAAGATTATGGTGCCCTCAATGAGAAGGATAAATAAGAACATCATACTTCAAACCACCAAGTTGACCAGGGGCCAAAACTGAAGCGTATTTCTTGTTTCCTCCGCGAGTGACAAAGATCTGCAATAATAAGAAAAACATAATGAATAAACATGATATGCTTGTCAGTCAAAATTTAGACTTCATAGCAAAAACCTGCACCAGTTGATTATATATACAAGCAGCAACTTAAGCTGGAGATAATAGTAACATCAGGAAGCTTAGTCAATACTCCAGACAGTAAAGTGAGAATGCTTAGATTTCAAACTGCTTTGATATTTTTGAAGGATCTCAACAAAACAGATTTTTTTTTCGAGATAACAAAACAGAATTGTGATGTACTGATGTCTCTTTTCAATGAGTTCATAATCTATAAGGGTCAGTTTGGCAGAGCTCCCAGAGCAGTTTACACGCTGAATCCAGGAGAAGCTCTGCCAAATAGTTTTTTACTGAGAAGTGATTCTTTGCTGATTCTGTGAAGTGATTCTCTAAAATGAACTAAGGGGCTGAGAACTGAAAAAACTAGCTTCTTCCGATTCACTTCACGAACAAAATCACTCTATGCACATAGTTTATCGTAGAGAATCATAGGGAATCAATTTCAGTCAAAGAATCACTTCTCACAGAGAATCAGCTTCCATAGAGCATCTAAAGCAGGAAGAGCTCTACCAAACTGGCCCTTAGTATTGTTATTTTTATCCAGAAGTGATATGCCAGTCTTGCAGTACAATGAGATTGTTGGCAGGAGTGACCAATCATTTCAGGAATACTAGAAGATTCAAATCAGCAATTTGATAATGGGAAGAGAGCTAAAGGAACGATTACCACAAAGCCTCATTTCAAAAGTACCGCCTACTTCTTTCTACTAAAGTATCAATGGAACAAGGAGGGACGTCTTTCTACTAAAGTGTTGAAAATCAAGTTTGAAGGCTTCAAAAATTAGCAAAGAAACTGTCTGGTGAGTCCATCTTTCTATTCCCAATCAAAAGTTTCAAGGCGGAATGCTAGTCTGTTTGCAGAACGTCTGAAAGGACACACTCTGCATGAAAAAAGTTCACCAAATCTATTTCGTATAATGAGCCAAAATGGTTGGGTTTGAGCATGCCCTCTGCTAAAATTAGTATTTTTTTCTGAGAACTTGTTTTCACAAGCTTTCATTGTAGAATATATATTTTGATTGAGCTTCTACCAAGAACCTCTAGTTAGAAAAATCTAAAGATACAGCAGAAGAGTGACAAAGTTCCGGAGTTACCGAAAATTGGTTGGCCATCACAGGTGACATTTCACAAGAACCAGGAGTTATCTGCCAATGCTTGAATTCCCCTCTAAAGCCTCTTGAAATGCTACCACTCCTGCAGAAGGGAATGAATGTACACACTAAATGTTCATGAAAACAGAATGACACAAAGGCTGGCTGTAAACCAATAATCACACACCCCATCCCACCAAGAGGTACTCCTTGTGAGGCTGAGGGTCTGTTGCCCTCTCTAGTGAATGGATCGATTGGTGCTTTCTGCCAATTGGTAAGTTGTCAAGCTAAAAGTGAACTCTCAGAATAAAAGATCAACTGTAAAAGAAGAGTAACTTATAAAGTACATATGGATATATGAAATGTGAAATCTACATATTACCCTTCCATGAGAAGCTTCTTCCCGAATTATGACCAAAGTCGGAGACCACGTTTCATCTAACAATCAGGGGGGAAACACATAATTTATAATGTTGACTCCCCATGCATCACTTGAAGACTTCAGCAGGCTTAAGTAACAGAGAAGACAGGTACAACTTCCATTAACAAGGAAAGCTGAAAGCTGCATTTTTCCATACCATTCTAATTGCTTCTCTGAATGTGACATTGAACTCCTTCAATCTATTAGCATGACTACTTAGTTTCCTTCTCCATGCATGCTCCGGTGGTGAGCCATCATCAAAGTCCAGCTGAGCATTCCCAAAAGCAATAATCAATAAGAAATAATAAAGGTAGTCACAGCAGAATTCCACACCATACCCTGGACTACTCATATATTTTACTCAAAATTTAACCAAATCAAATGGGAAAATTTCTTCACGATCTTGTGATGCTTTCAACAAATACAAATGGTTAAGCAATTTGCAGTTTAATTTGGTAAGCCAATAAAATTCTTAATACAGCTATTAATGATGGAGAAAAATACAACTTTTTATCTGCAACAGTCAGTTAAACAACTCAGCATATTCATCGAGCACAACTTCCGAGCCTTTTTTTAAAAAACATTTCAGAAGACCCTGTATATTAACAATCACCATAAGCAGCAAGATAGCAGAAATAAGATATCACAAATAGATTAGCTCACTAGAATCAGCTTTATCCATCAAATCCTCTATGCTACCAAACTTAGTACCAAGGCAGATATTACAGTTTTGTCATCACTTTCCAATAGGCGAGGCAATGTCTGCAGGCACTAGCGGTTTCAGGACCAATTAAAGGAAGAGGAGGGAGAAGGATCTTACCAATTGCAGCGTGCTCCGGCTAACGAACTCATCGGCACGCCACGAGCGCTTCCTCCGGTAGAGCAGATTCCCGCTCACCATTCCGATGGGCCCGCTGAAACACCAAGTTTAGGGTCCCGGCTAAGCACAGAGCCGAGCTCCAACTTGAAGAAACACTTGGAAATTACTCAAAGTTGGGAGAAAAATCGTGCTTTTTTTTCTTTTTGGTGTGTACAGAAAGAACGACACGAAGAAAGAGAGTTTTTTTTTCCCCTTCTGTGCCATTATAAAAATTAGTAATTACCCACGAGTTATTAAAAAAGTTAAGTTTTCACGGGTGCCACTCCTCAGAACTTTTTTTTTCCCTCCACGTCACTTCTGTCAAATTTGGCTCTAACGATGTCGAACTATGAGTGTGAAAAGTCGAAAATACCCTCATGTCTAAATATGCAATTAATTTTTTTAGCATCTTAATGATCTCAAATGAAAAAAAAAACTCAAAACTAGAAAGTTGTAGATCTCGTCGAGATCTACAATAGTTTTTTTAAAATTATCTTCATTTAATTTCGTACCAAAAAAATATGATTTTTCTAAGACATTAATAATATCAAATCATATTTTTTTACAGAAATAAATGAAGATAATTTTATAAAAAAATTATAGATATGTCGAGATCTATAACTTTCTAGTTTTGAGTTTTTTCATTTAAGGTCGTTAAGATGCCAAAAAAATTAATTGCATATTCAGATCTGAGGATATTTTGAACTTTTCACATCCGTGGTTTGACACTGTTAGAGCTAAATCTAACGGAAGTGGCGTGGAGGACAAAACAATTCACAGCAGTGGCACCTATAAAAACTTAATTTTTTTAATAACTTATAAATAATTACTAACTTTTATAATGGCACATGGATAAAAAGCCTAGAAGCAACAATGTTTGACCCCAGAAGAGTCCGATTCCCCTAATCTGGACCCGAACTAAGCAAAGTTCCAAACAGATTTGAAGCCACTAGAAAAGGGAACGACTGTAGCTGAGCTTGTGCTATTAATAGCCCCAAAATCGTACCAATAAAACAAAAAAAACCGGCAAAACCAGCAATAGGAAATCAGCTGCCCGCCAGAGACGAGGTTGTTAGTTGATTTCCATCAACGGTCTATTAGGCCCTTGTCTCTGCTCTCTGATCGGGGGAGCCCAACCCTAATATGGTTGGTGGGCCCCTGTCGCACAGCACATATAAAAGAGAGTGGAGATCATGGCTCGCACTACGAGGTTCAACGGAGCCACCGTACCTACCTACAGAGAAAACCAAAACCGATCTAAAGCAGTGCTGCCAGCGACGGAAAGCTCCACCACACCGTCGCCGCATCTACAAGGTCACCGCAGCGCCACTGGACTTCATCTCCACAGCGCTAGACGCCTACTACACTGTGGCACCGGCGTCTACTCTGCTGCTACGCCGCAACAGAGAGAAAGGCGAGGAGGCTTACCCGGATCTACGGTTACACAGAAAGGTACACCCACAATCCTAACATTGGTACCAGAGCCAGGTTGTCAGTGTGTAACCCTAACCCTAATCGGGTAAAAGAAACGGAAAAGGGACCGGGGGTGGCGGACGTCACTGGAACCCCGGTCACCTCCGCCACCGCGCGGGGAAAAGTGCTGGTGCGGCAAGAAAAGAAAAGAGTTCCTTACGGGTCTGAACAGAGAAGGGGTTCATTAACCCTAAACCCGTAAAAGCCTTCAACGGAAAGAGAAACAGTAGAAAGAAGAAGAAGAGTGGGTTTGGATTTGGCCGAACTCTAATACCTAACCCTAATTTTAACCCCATCCCAAATCGGGTTGATCCCAAAACAAGAAGGGGAAAGGGGAAGAAGGGGAAGGAATCAGTCTCGGGGAAAAACAGTGAACCCTAGCATCTCGATCTCTAATCAAAACAAATCGGGTTCAACCGAACCCAAACCCTAACTCGCATGGAGAAAGGGAAAAGGGAAAAGCCATTCGGATGAACTCTGAAAAGAAAAAGAAATCAAAAGAAAATGAAACCTACCCCAATCGGTTGAATCCGTAGAAAGAAGCAGATTCAAAAAAAAAGAAAGAATATTCAAAAGCAAATCAGAGAAGGGGAAGATCGGATTCCGAACCCTAACCCTAGAACAAACCCTAACCCTCATCACCGGTTCGGATAAGAGAAAAAAATCCAAATCGGAGAAGGCGAAAAGAGGAACAGACCTACCTCGCCATGCGTCGGGATGCCCCTTCGCCGGCGCGGGAGAAGAAGAGCCCAGCCGGGGGCAGCTGCTCGCCGGGCTCGGCCAAGGGGGCGCCGTGGCCAGGCCGCTCGACGGCGGCGTGCTCACCCGTTGGGGAGCACGCGCGTCGGCGAGGGGACCGACGAGGGCGCCATGGTCGCTCCACCATCAGTTGCTTTCGTTTCGCCGCTCGGTGCATTGCTGTTGAGAGAGGAGAGAGCGGCGAAGACAGAACAAAGAGAGAGAAGCAGACAGAGCAAATGAGGCTAGGGTTTCCAGCCGTCGCGGCCGAGCGTGGTTTTGACCCCGCGAAGCCTGCGGGTGACCGACGGATGTGATCCGGCGGTGGAGCATGATAGGGCCGTCGCCGGCCCAAGCGGGCGCGTGCGGTCGTGGCACTTTGCCGGCCCAGGGCCACGTTGCGGCCTGGGTGCGGCCGAGAGCCGCGCAGAGCAGTGGGACCGAGCCGGTTTTAACCGATTTGGGCCGACACAGGAAGAGCAAGAGCCCGGTTTTGTATTTTCTTTTTTCCTGGAAAATTGAAAATGCAAATTGGCTCAAAAGAAAAAATAGAAAAATAATTTTTACTGTGGGTAAAATTCAAGAAATTGAGAAAAAGAGATTTTTTCCGCTGCTAAAAGAAATTGTTTAGTCTCCAGTTATTTTGAACCAATATGATATTTAATTGGAGAAAAAGAGATTTTAACATGATTATGATGTTGTTATTTTCTGACCAACGTTGTTAATAACAATATCGTAATTTTAATGATTTATGCATTAATTCTATTTCTGCCCAACGGTGATGTAGAATTAGTGTATAAGAACAGTTGTAAATTTTAATGATTTATGCATTAATTCTACTTCTGTCAAACGGTGATGTAGAATTAGTGTGTAAGAAAGTTGTGAAAGTTAATGTTTTATGCATTAATTCTATTTCTGCCCAACGGTGATGTAGAATTAGTGTATAAGAATAATTGTATGTTTTGATTTTGACCAACGTTAGAATCAAGGCATGCAAATGGTGTTAATTTATATGTTAAGAAAAGATTTGACCTAGTTTTCATCTTGGCTAAGATGGACTGGGTAGTCACCTCACCGTGTCCCACTGATTCTGTGGCACCGATGAGGGAGACAAAAGAGAATAATGCCGATTAGACAACTAAAGAAATGGATTTTGAATTCCAAAAGATGTTCTATGACTTTGAGCATAGGAAGTGGGTCACTGCCAACATAAAATATTTGGCTGTGATAAAGAACACAATTGAGCCTGCAATTGTGGGCTCAATCCTAGAGTGTGACACAGTCATCGAATACCTCGATAGAATAAAGAGTCAGTTCATTGGCTCTTCAAAGACATATGCTACCCAGCTGATAAAGCAGCTGGTGATAGAGAGTCACTCTGAAAATGGTGGTATAAGAGAGCTCACGATGCGTCGTCAAAATTATGGCACTATCGTTTAGGCCATATTTCAAGGAGGAGAATAGAAAGACAAGTTAAGAATGATATTCTTCCTCCATTAGAGCTCTCAGATTCAGAACAATACAGAGAATGCATAAAAGGAAAGTATGTAAAGAGAATTAAGAAAGATGACAAATGAAGCGCAGAAATTTTATAGATTATTCACACAGGCATCTGTGGTTATTTTCCTGTAAAGAGTGTGGATGGTTATGATTCGTTCATAACATTCACAAATGATTACTCCCATTATGGCTTACATTTATCCAATCAAAGAAAGAACAGAAGTATTGGATAAATTTAAGATATTAAAGATTAAGATAGTCAGGTCTGACCGTGGGGGAGGACTACGGTCGGCATACCCTAAAAAATGGCATAGTAGCCCAGTATACTACACTAGGCGAACCTTAGTAGAATAGAGTAGCTAAAAGAATCAATAGTACCCTGATGGATATGGTGGGCAGTATGATAAGTTACTTCACCTTACAGTTGAGCCTGTGAATGGAGGCGTTAAAACCGTCATTCATATTCTCAATAGAGTACCAAGTAAGTCGGTGCCCAAAACACCGTATGAGTTGTAGACAGGAAGAGTACCCTCACTAAACACTTAAATGTGTGGGGGAGCTCTGTTGAGGCTAAAGCATTTAACCTAAACATTGAGAAGCTAGATCCCAAAACAGTAAGTTGCAATTTCATTGGCTACCCAGAAAAGTCAAAAGGTTTTTGCTTTCTACTGTCCAGAGAGACAAACAAAGTTTGTGGAAACGAGACACGTTGTCTTCCTAGAGGATGAATTGATGAGGGGGAGCATGGTAGCTCGAGAAATTGACCTTGAAGTGAAGCGGGTGTATGCGCCCACTCTAATGATTCATGAGCTATTTTTTTACTACCTGCTGTCGCTGCACCGACAGTGTTAGATATTGTGGTGCCAGCACCTATTGTTATCCCACCTGTGGCAATAATGAATGACGATGAGGAACATGTTCGTCAGGATCCTATAGAACATATTGCCACACATGAGAGGGAGCAACAACAGCCTCAAACAGAAGATGTGCCAAATACGAAGGCCCCTAGAAGGTCTCAAAGAGTTAGAAAATCAGCTATTTCTGCTGATTATAAAGTGTACAACACTGAGGAATTTCAAATAGAGGATGATCCCACCTCATTTGAAGAAGCCATGAGAAGTGATCATTCATCAAAGTGGCTTGAGGCCATAGAAAATGAAATGAAATCAATGAATGCCAATAAAGTTTGGGACTTAGAAGTAATTTCTAAAGGAGCCAAAACAGTAGGCTGTAAATGGGTCTACAGAACAAAACTTGACTCTCAAGTGAATATAGAGAGATATAAAGCGAGACTTATGGCAAAAGGTTTTACGCAAAGAGAAAAGATTGATTACAATGAGACCTTTTCTCCAGTCTCATGTAAGGATTTCTTCAGAATCATAATGGCATTAGTGGCACATTACGATTTAGAATTACATCAGATGGATGTAAAGACGGCATTTCTCAACGAAAACTTGGAGAAAAATATTTACATGGCACAACTGAAAGGTTTTGTCATGGAAGGAAAAGAACGAATGGGATGCCGTCTAAAGAAATCCATTTATTGATTAAAACAAGTTTTTGAGACAGTGATACTTGAAGTTTGATCAGCAAATAAAGAATTTGGGTTTAAAGAGAACGTAGAGGACAATTATGTCTATACAAAGTTTAAGAATGTGAAGTTTATCTTCCTTGTCCTGTATGTGGATGATATCTTATTTGCTAGTAATGATGTTAGTCTACTACAGGAGACAAAGAAGTTTTATCCTCAAAACTTGATATGAAAGATCTTGGTGAAGTCTCGTTCGTTCTAGGGATCGAGATTCACCAAGATAGAAGAAAAGGGGTATTAGGACTGTCACAAAAGACATACATAGAAAGAATCTTAAAGAAATTTAGTATGCACAAATGTAGTCTCTCACCTGCTCCTATAGTCAAGGGCGACAGATATGGGGATTTTCAATGCTCAGGAACCAATATGAGCTCAATCAAATGAAAGTGGTTCCATATGCTTCAGCTGTCGGAAGCTTGCAACATGCTCAAGTATGTACGCGCCCTGACTTGGCATTTGTTACCGGGTTTTACTTGGCAGATTCCAGAGCAATTCTGGAATAGAACACTGAAATTGATAAAGAAAATCTTGCGTTATTTGCAAGGAACGAAATGCCTCATGATGACATATATAAGATCTGATTCACTCCACATAGTGGGATATTCAGATTCTGATTATGCGAGAGATGATAGAAAATTAAGAAAGGATATGAATTCACTCTCGCAAAGGGGGAGCTATTTCATGGAAAAGCTCAAAGCAAACCGTCACTATATCGTACACAATGTATGATAGTTTGTAGCGTGTTATGAGGCAACCGGCAGATGAACTGACTAAAGAAGTTCATATCCGGTTTGAAGGTGGTTGACGACATTTATAGACCACTTAAGTTATACTGCGATTATAATCTGGCAGTACAGTATGCTCACAACATAAGTCAAGTGGTGCTGTTAAACACATTGACATAGAGTATTATGTTGTGATAGATAAAGTCCGAAATCAAGCCATAAGCCTTGAGCATATAAGTACAGAAAAGATGTTCGCGGATCCGCTTACAAAAGGCTTACCACCCAACGTGTTCAGAGAACATGTAGCTAGCATGGGTTTAAGGGAAAGCCTAAAAAATTCCCGGACAAAAGAAGGCCCAAAGATAAGTATCTATTTCAGAACATAGTAGTATGTTGTAGCTGTTAAATCTATCAGCAATGGACCGTGACGATGAGACATGCTCTATGCGTTAATCTGTAATGGAATGAACAAAAGTAAATGAAATTCAAAGATGGTAGTGAGATCAATGGGGAGAATGTTAGTTGATCTCCACCAATAGACCCAACGGCCTATTGGGCCCTTGTCTCTGCTCCCTGATCGGGGGAGCCCAACCCTAATATGGTTAGTGGGCCTTTGTCGCACAGCACGTATAAAAGAGAGGTGAGGATCATGGCTCGCGCTACGAGGTTCAACGGAGCTGCCGTATCCACCTACAGAGAAAACCTAAACCGATCTAAAGCTGTACTGCCAGCGACGGGAAGCTCCACCACACCGCCGCCGCCTCTGTAGGGTCACCGCAGCACCACTGGACTTCATCTCTAGAGCGCTGGACGCCTACTACACTGCGGCACCGGCGTCTACTCTGCTGCTACGCCGCAACAGAGAGAAAGGGCGAGGAGGCTTATCCGGATGTACACAACGATACTAACATATGTGCCTACAGCTCGACGGAATTAATGGCTCACCGGCGACAGGAGAATCGCCGGTTTGTCCAGGGGAGGCTACGAGCAAGCTTTAACCTTTATCTTTATTTCTTTTCTATCTAGAAGAAGACCGTATAGGCTGATTAACAATCCGGCGGTCCCTGCCGCTGCAGTTCTCCTTGCTGAGTCGCCGAGCCGGGACGGGACGGCTAGTCTATTATCCATCGACGTAGCGAGTGGACGGCGGCGCCAGATCAGCAGCGCAGGTGTCCTCTCCTTGTTCTTTGCAAAGCGAAATCTTTGTTTCCCCTTTGACCCTTTCCGCCGGGTGGTTTGGTTCGATGAAAAGAAGAGCAAAGCAGACATCTCCTCGCCGGCCGGCGGCGACGACGTGGCCAATTGAAACGGCTGTCGTCGGATGGCAAATGTGCCTTGTGTAGTTGTGTTCGTCGTTGGGATACGCTGTCGGCGGACGGCAAATGTTGTTGCACGGCGAGCAAGGAAGACATATGTTCCTGCAGTATGCCGAGGGGAGGAAGTTGCTTCTTGTATCATAAGAAACGAGTGTACCTGCCTTACGTGTCATATTAGCTTGGTTCCATGTTAAACATTATTTGTCTTGTTCGTTTAGCTGATAAGCCATGACTGAAAGTACTGTTGACTGATTTATTGTGAAAGAAAAATATTATTCGTTGGCTGAAAAAGTACGACTTATAAACCAAACGAACAAGACGATTATCTTTAATAACTATTTATTTAGAAATCCTTATTTACAAATTAACAATATATGAATTATATATTATAAAAGTATTTTTATAGTAAATCTAAAAACATAAATCTTATGTCTTAACTCTATATGAATCTTTTCAAATTAACGATCAAAAATACAAATATTTGATTTAGGATCGAGCTAATATGACAAATAAAAAAAAAGTCCACGGCAGGGCACTAGATTTCATTAATGTCTGTCACCAGTGTCCGGAGCTGTCGGATGCTCACTATCGAGGCATCCTTCGTGCAACAACGTAGTTGAGTCAAAACTCATCCATTTGTGCTCCTGCCAATATAGGCCCTGTTCGCTGGTCTGAACTTTGGCTGAAAACACTGTTCCGACTAAAAAAACAAATTGAACAAACTAAATTTAAGACAAGCGAACGGGACCATATATGCTTAAAAGAAGATTAGGTGGCTAGCAAAAATGCTAGGATTAGTGCTTATGCTAGTTAAAGGTCGTGTTTTGTGCTTGCTCTATGTTTAGGCCTAATGTTTTATGAGGTTTGTATACTTTCAAACTATCGATGCTTGCGCATATAAAAAGATATATACACGGGCATGTAATCTTGCGAGATCATATCAATTTATGCTCGTGGTGTGGCTGCCATTACGAGGGGTGTGAGGCCTTGACGTTTTGGCCTAAGCTCACCTGTGAAGATGGCTGGAAGCAATCTCGGAGAGACCACACGAAGACCACTTGTGAATGAGGAGGACCCATAGGTTATCCACGAAGTTACCCAACCGAGCACTTGGCCTTTGCGAGGAGCTCCAACGAGGATTAGCTGAAAGTTTAAAGTTTTCTATACCTCAATAAAAAATAGCATTGTGAGGAAGTGTACATTCCCTGACCCTTTGACTCCGTTCACGTGCCATTAAACCCGGCTTGATCCGCTTCTTTTTTTCATTTGGAACAGTGTTTTCCTCTCATAAATTCCTACAGAATTCCTCCAACCCATCCAAATTCCTCCAAAACCATACCATCCGAACGGGGCCTTATATTCTGCAACTATTTTCTTACATTTTTTGGTTGTGTGCTTTTACTTTTCAATTCTAACTTGATACTACTTTAGTTGGTAGAATTAGAATCTAGGGAGTAAAATTATTAGACGTTAGAGATAGCAGCACTTAGAACCTAATGCACATATAGATAGAATTTACGTAGGGTTTTATAACTGGGTTATTAACTTAGTTTTCAAATGGCCTAATTCACTTCCTCATATCATTGAACTGTCATCAAGTGTCCACAAGCGCAGTGTTTTTTTTTAAAGGAGATCATGCGCCTTTATTGAAGGCAAGTAGCAATCACTTGATCTGCTCCTTGGGCCTTCGATACAGAGCTCTGAATACGGTCATCCAACTGTAGCATGCTATGCTACTGCCGTACAAATTGGATGGGCCCAACTCGTCCAATCCAAAGTCAATTGACATTTATACGCTGTAATAAATACCACAATACATCTCAAGCACCGATCAATCCGTTCCATAAATACACCCAGGTTTACAGCTATTACAAGCCACCCTCAATTAAAGAATGAAATAATTATGCTAAAATTGAAAGTATTACGCCATGCCATTGAAAGATAACTTGATTTTCCATCACAAACCTTGGAAGCAGGCAATGCTACAGACCAGCCATTTCCTTTTTCTGTACAAAGAAGCCTTTTGAGATGCCATTCATGGTTCTAGTAGGTAGGTTACTGGGCTAGCGAGTGGCACGATGGATTATCGGTTCTCCATCCCACGTCAACTCATGCCATACTTCTTCTTCGTGAATGGTCTGCGCCAGTTGACTTTGGATTCAAGGAATGCTCTGCCCCAGCAATGCTTTTGGGTTCAGAAAGCCTCTTCAGTCGATCGCTGAGTGATTCAGTTGTTCCATTTTTCTCCTTTTTCAACCCAGTGAAGTTTGGAACTGATTTACTAAGTCCATTCATACCATTCGCTTTAGGAGCATCATTCCCTGGACCCTTTCCATTACCTCTTGCGGCGATCCTCTTTTGCCTCTCCAATTTAAGCCTCTCCAATCGCTTTATTTGCTCTTCTTCCTGAAAATAAGAAAAGTTACTAGCAATTCAACTACACAGATGATATCATTGTACAGTTTGTCAATCAGATTTAGAAACATGCCCTAAGAATGAAACAAACTCTGACAAACTCAGCTGCAAATATATGCGTGGGAAAGTAATCGCGTGCTCGGTTTTCTTAAGCTTTTTTCAACAATGATAAAACATCAACTAGGCAGATTATCATATTAAAAAATTAAAAAGTAATGTAATACAAAGTTATGGAGTAGGATATATATATCCCCTCTTTTTCTGGATGCAGAGTACATTATACATAAAACTCATAAGATTTCTGAAATAGGGAAACTATTGCTGAGGTTAACTACTTGAAATTCGGCCTTACAAGAACTGCTAGCAGGCATGTAATATTTCAAGAAACTGTACTGAATTATGTTTAAACTTAGCTAGTTGGCCATTTGAAAGGGTGATCGCAAAACAATAAAGCCTTTTATCCCAAGCAAGCTGGTGTAGGCCATAAATGGAACCCACGGAAGGGAAAATGGAATGAAATGTGAAATACCTGTTCTTTCTTCAGTTTCTGAAGGTCTGCTTTATATGCACGCAGGTTCTGTGCACGTTTTTGTGCATCATTCAGTGGGGTCCTTGGCGCTGATAGCCTCCTCAATAAGGCATCTTTCCTTCGTTTATCTGAACCATCCTTTGCATTCCTTGGCTTCTCTTTCTCTACCTTCTGTACATCACCCTCAGTAACTGGCACGACATCCTCTGTTTTTGCATCTTCCACTTTTACAGCAATCTGCACGTGGCTATCATAATCCATTGCTGGATCATATCCAAATGAAACATCTTCAAATCCACGCTCTGGCACCAATTCATCAGGTTCGTAAAAAAGCTGATGCCCAGCCTTTTCATCTGATGCTTTCTGAATTCTAGAAGGAAGCTCAACATCTATGTCAATAGTAGTTCTGCTTTCTGCTCCGATATTATCCTGTGAGCTGGACCTAAGAGGAATCATAAAGGACTCATCCGCCACACCATTCCTATTCTTGTCCTGCTGAACAGGATTCTTGTACTGGGCCTCTGCAAGAGGATCCAACAAACTATGTCTGTCTATCTGACTTCCCTGACCATAAACCATGAAGTCATCACCTGTCCCTCTCCTGTACCTTCCTCCACCCGCTTCAATCTCCTTTATTTCACCATCCATATAGCTTCTCCCTTCTCCAGACATAATAAGTTCATCATTGGACATGACCCGGATAGCTCTAGTCCTCCCATTGGCTGAATCAAAGCCTACTTTGTTCCGCTCATAGACATTGCCACCATCTCTGTCAGCTAAAAGAATAGGATCTGCTGTGTTTACATTCTGTTTTCTCCTTGATGGGGGTTCTTTCTCACCAGCAAACAGGTCTGCATCACTAGATCTTGTTTTTTCTTCTGCTCTCAACAAGAAATTTTGGAATGCACTCCAGTTACCTTGTTCAGCATCGTGGCCATTTGACGTTTCATCCTTGCTATACTCATCTCCCGAGTCAAAAGTAGTTCTCCTACCCTCCTTTTCTTTGAACTTGTGCTTTTATGCTTTCTCTCTCTTGATTTGGAGTGTGAATTGTCACTGTCCGCAGACTCAACTTCAGAACTTGATTGTGATTCACTCTCTGATGAGCCATGCTTTTTAGATGTTACATTCACATTCTTGATAACAACTACACTAGGCTTCTTCTTTCCAGACCTCTTCCCCTTTCTATGTGACTTGCGACCATGAGAACTTCCTCTATCTGAACTGCTATGGTCACTTTCAACATCAAGAGTTTCTGAGTCCTTACTATCCGAGGAGTGCTTCCTCGAAGATTTCCTTCCTGAGTAGTGGTACCTGGGATCATCCACTGGAGGATATGGAGGGTAGTATGGATTCACCCCAGGATAGAAAGGCATGCCTTGCATAGGATAAGGTGGGTAAACAACTGCACCAGATGGATGCATTGCCCATGGAGGATATGTAGCATGAGATCCCATCTGCTGGCTTGACTTCTGATCTGCAAAGCAGAAAGAAAATATTTTCTCAAAAATGGGCAGTAAGAGAAAATCTAAAGTGCTTAACAGAGTGACAAGAAATGAACTAAATCCATGATTGCACAACATTTAAGTATAACTCTGCTTACTATTTAAATGATTTTTCTGAATGTTTGAAATAACTTACGGACACAACCTTTCAGTTGGATGACTCTTTTGATGACACTAATAGGCGTTTTGTGCGGAGAATCCAAGAATCTGAGGTCAGAGAGGCGTTGAAAAGGACGAAAGGAGATAAGGCGATGGGACCGGATGGTATCCCAATCGAAGTGTGGAGATGCCTTAGGGACATAGCTATAGTATGGCTAACCAAGTTGTTTAACCATATTTTTCGATCGAACAAGATGCCTGACGAGTGGAGAAGTATATTGGTACCGATCTACAAGAATAAAAGGGATATTCAAAGTTGTACTAATTACCGGGGAATTAAGTTGATAAGCCATACTATGAAGCTATGGGAGAGAGTTATCGAACATCGCTTGAGAGCAATAACGCGGGTCTCTATGAACCAATTTGGTTTCATGCCCGGAAGGTCAACCATGGAAGCCATTTTCTTAATAAGACAAGTTATGGAGCGGTATAGGGAGAAGAAGGACCTACACATGGTTTTTATTGACTTGGAGAAGGCTTATGATAAAATACCAAGGAATGTTATGTGGTGGGCTTTGGATAAACATAAAGTCCCAACGAAATACGTCGGGCTCATTAAGGACATGTACAACAATGTTGTGACTAGTGTTCGAACAAGTAATGGAGACACAGATGACTTCCCGATTATGATAGGACTACATCAAGGGTCAGCTTTGAGCCCTTATCTGTTTGCCTTAGTGATGGATGAGGTCACAAGGGGACATCCCTTGGTGTATGCTTTTCGCGGACGATGTAGTGCTAGTTGATGAAAGTCGGACATGAGTGAATCAGAAACTGAAGTTATGGCGGGAGACTTTAAAGTCCAAAGGTTTTAGACTCGGTAGACCTAAAACTGAGTATATGAGATGTGACTTCGGCACTACTACTCGGGAGGAGGAAGATATTAGTTTGGAAGGTCAAGTAGTGCCTAGAAAGGATACCTTTCGATATTTAGGATCAATGCTACAGAGAGATGGGGATATTGATGAAAATGTTAGCCATATAATCAAAGCAGGGTGGATGAAATGGCGCCAAGCATCTAGTGTCCTATGTGACAAAAGGGTACCACAAACGCTAAAAGGCAAGTTTTATAGGACGGCGATTAGACCTGCTATATTGTATGGTGCAGAATGTTGGCCTACAAAAAGACATGTTCAACAGATAAGTGTCGCGGAAATGCGTATATTGCGTTGGATTTGCGGTCATACAAGAAGGGATCGAGTTCGAAACGATGATATACGTGATAGATTAGGGGTAGCACCAATTGAAGAAAAGCTTGTCCAACACCGGTTGAGATAGTTTGGACATGTCCAACGGAGACCTACAAAGGCACCGGTGCGTAGTGGAATCCTAAGCCAGGATAGTAACGTGAAGAGAGGTAGAGAAAGACCGAAGTTGACTTGGGTAGAGGCAATAAAAGGAGACTTGAAAGGATGGAATATACCCAAAGACTTAGCCTTAGATAGGAGTGCTTGGAAAACAGCTATTCACGTGCCTGAATCTTGATTGCTTCTGTTGGGTTTTAACTCTAGCCTACCCCAACTTGTTTGGGACTTAAAGGCTTTGTTGTTGTTGTTGTTGTTGTTTGAAATAACTTGGTTAAAACAAAGCTGGATAAGCATTGCCAAATGCCAACCAAGAGAAAACTACAATCTGGTTCATTCTTGAATAAGAAAAGTAGGATAGCACATCCACCTTAAGACAGGAATATAAATAATAAAACTATAAATGAAATGTTGATATTTCAAAATATTTATTTTTCCCCTTCCCACAAATAGAAGGAAACTAGAAACATAGAAGAATATTGTTTTTTCTTTACTAGTAATGTTAGTGGCGCTTCATTGGTAACATTCTTAGCTTTAAAGAAAAGATATTCTTTTTGTGTGTGTGTGTGCTTGGGGGGGTACTTTCATTCAATGTTCAAAATTCAAATGCCATGCTTTCTTTTGGGAAAACGCAACAACTTATACCAGCTTTAGCTCCATCCTCGCCATTTGCCTCTCCATTAATAGACCCTGATTCCAGGTTTGGTTTCATGTTGTCTCCCATGAACACAATGCCAGATGCGTTAAATGGAGGAAATTCAGAGCGTGTAGACATTGCTTCAGGTTCAACTTCAATCCATTGTCCAGTTTCATGCTTCTGCTTCCACAGCTCGATGAAATGTGAACATGCCTTCCTGTTCAATTAGTGAAATTGAGGCAGTTAAACATGTAAGATCTATTGACAAAATGTTATTAGTTTGATGACAGACAACTGACTAAAACTTGTGCAATAGTATAACTTGATCAACAAAGTACAATAACACTACCAAGGCAGGGAGCGTGCAATAGTACAGTTGTTCACATCTGAATAAACCAAAACATCTGAGCAATCCACAGTTCCACACTATTCTGATTTTATGACATGCTACAAAATAAAAGCGCCAGAAGATACAAGCTTCATGGGTAGCATCTCTAAGGTCAAGTTACAACTTAAAAGCACTGAAGATATCAAGACAACTAGTTCAGTCCAGCATATAAAACCACCAAGTAATTGTAAGGCTATACTTACATCAGACGTGCAGCACCAAAGCGCTCTGCAAACGCAATCAAGTAACCCAAGTTGTCAATGTCAAACCCAGCAGCCACAGCACGAGCGAAAGCCATAGCCTGCTCTTTTCTTAACACAGTTTTGCGGGTTTCAAGCACTCTGAGCAATTGAACTCTGCAATTTGTAATGCAGTTCTGTTAACAGCTTTCTACTGTAGAAAGACACTTACAATAATAAGAAACTAAACATGATCTCAGAGTATCAGCCTGTTCGCTTCGCTTGTTGGTTTCAGCCAGCCCAAACCAGCCAGCCAACAGTATTTTTCTCTCACGACAAACCAGCACCAGCCAGCTCAAATCAGCCCAGAAACCAACCAACGAACATGCCGTATATATGCTGCTTGTAATGGAGATCAAGACAATAGAACAGTGAATGAATAACGATGTTCTCATATATTTCTCCATTAGATGCCTTTAATTCATTATTCATTTTGTAGAGTATGACTTTATACAGCTCTATTAATGAGCCGAGCTTAGTTCAGTTGGTGGGTGCTGTGGGCAGACACCCCCATCATCCAGGTACAAATCCTATTGGACTCAAAAGCGGGTGCCTATTTCTTCTTATTTACAACGCCACCTGGTTTCCTCCTAGGTTGGTCTGAGTTTATACAGCCCTATTAGCCAAAAAAAAAATGTGAAGACTAACAAATAACATTCTATAAGAAAAACTGAGATGTGCAAGTACTTTGAATTCTCTTCATGTGCTGTTGTTTCATTCTGCATTGGTGGCATTGAATTTGACCCAGGCTGTCATTGATCAAATATCCCAATCAGACTGCAGTGTTGTACCATAATACAATTACAGAAACAAAATTTGGCTTGTCCATATAATCATACCTTGTAGACAACAATTGCCGTGGCTGAATCAGGATCATAATTTGCCCGTCCACCTATTAGTGGATGGATAGTGTCAGGCATGTTGTAGAAATAAATAAAAAGATATGGCAGGATAGTGTCAGGCATGTTGCAAAATGTTGGCCTACGAAAAGGCGACATGTTCAACAGATAAGTGTCGCGGAAATGCGTATGTTGCGTTGGATTTGCGGTCATACAAGAAGGGATCGAGTTCGGAACGATGATATACGTGATAGATTAGAGGTAGCACCAATTGAAGAAAAGCTTGTCCAACACCGGTTGAGATGGTTTGGACATGTCCAACGGAGACCTCCAGAGGCATCGGTGCGTAGTGGAATCCTAAGCCAGGATAGTAACGTGAAGAGAGGCAGAGGAAGACCGAAGTTGACTTGGGTAGAGGCAATAAAAGGAGACTTGAAAGGATGGAATATACCCAAAGACTTAGCCTTAGATAGGAGTGCTTGGAAAACAGCTATTCACGTGCCTGAACCTTGACTGATTCTGTTGGGTTTCAACTCTAGCCTACCCCAACTTGTTTGGGACTTAAAGGCTTTGTTGTTGTTGTTGTTGTTGTTGTTGTGGTGGTGGCAGGCTATGACAGGTAAGGGCGTAAGGCGAATAAAAGGATGAAACAGCTCGATCCATTCCAGTACTCCCCTGGATGCAGAACATAATAGCATCCAGAATTCTCTGGTTGGAAATAAGATATTACTAAATATTCAGGACTTAAAAAAAATATAGCTTCATATCGACTCCCTCTACTCCAAATTATAAGACGTTTTGGCATTTCTAGATACATTGCTTTTACTATGTATCTAGACATAGTGTATATATCTAAGTGCATAGCAAAATCTATGTATTTAGAAAACCCAAAACGTCTTATAATTTGGAATGGAGGGAGTAAATTATTTTGATCACACAGCAAATTCAACCTACTTACTTCATAACATTAAACGATAGTAAAGGTTGTCCACAAATCAGACTATGATCCCTAACGTTTTGGGAGTTAAATGATAAGTACCAACTTAATGATGGCCCTTGATGTGATGTCGCATCAAACTCCATGATGACTAGATTCTAAAATAATCGTAGTGGATTGCACCTAGCTTTTCTTTTTGGTAGCCCAATGAAATAATGTTTGAGATTTAGACAATCCTCAAAGGCATGCAATATTCTATACAACAGGCTCACAGAAAGAATCAGGTTGGTGCGGTGCCATACTACCTTCATTGCTTTCAGTCAACTTTCTTCCATGGTCTTCGACCTTTCAAATGGCACAGCAAGAATGTCATCTTTCTACAAAAGAAAAACACACAGCAACTACCCACATGCTACAAATCTTCTGCACTTACAGATTTTAATCCAAGACTGTCGTTGCTCTGGATAGCAATGGCATCCTCGAGCTGCAGGATCTCAGACTCTAGTGTTGTGACTCGCTCAAGGACCTCCGGAGTACTCACGAAACGCACAAATCTGCAAAGAGTTGACACAAGAATGACCCAACAGGCAAATAGGCAATGCCAGAAGTAACTGTACTACTACAGTAGTATAGATATCTAGACGCCAACCTCTCCATGGTGCCTCTCGTAAACCATGGCACATCGAACCCTGAGCTTGGTTCAAGTGTGATCGAGTACCCTCCCTTGGCAATCTGATCCTGGGCGGCCTTCAGGTGAGCCAGGAACGGTTTCAACAAACCAGATGCAAACTTCTCCTTCCGGCCATTGGCTATCAGAACCAAATCGAACCTGAAAGGCGAAAACAGTACCAGGACAACTTCCGTCAGAGACTTTGGACAAAACAGTAAATTCCATGACAAAACCTGAAAGAGAACTAGCCTACTCGTCAGAGTACTTTTTTTAACAATAACAAATATGTCTAATATAGTTACTACTGCTGCCACTATGCAAGAATCGCCGGATCTGATACTATAATTTTACAGGTAACGGAGACAACCAATCGTTTGTTGGGCCAAATTCCAGTCCTGACATGGACAAAACCATCTTAGGACAGTGTAAGTAAACAGAACTGTTCTTCAAATGGAAGCTTCCAAGTACCAAACAGCAAAATGCACGGCACATGAACCGTCACAAAGACCAAATTTGTAACCACAAAATATATATTCGTAAAAATTTGTTCTTGCTACCATTCCAGAAACCAAAACCCTAGGAACGAACGAACGAACGATCGATCCCCCGAATCAAAAGCCGCTTCATGAGCAGATCTATAGGATGCTCTCACCTGGTCCGGGTGGGGGTGAGCTGGAAAACCACCGAATCCAGACGTGCGTCGGGCCTCATCGCCGAAGAATTCCACGCACGAACCTCTCCTCTCTTGGCTCTCCCACTCCTCTTTGTATCAGATCTTGCGGCCAAAAAGCGAGCGAGCGCGCAGAAACTGCGACTAGAACCGGCGCTTTGCTTGTGCCGGATGCTAACCTCTCCACTGGGGGAAAAAAGGACAAGCAGAAAGGAGCGGCAAAAGAATGCTGCCCCGTCGCCGAGTGGAGGTGGATGGATGAAGCAGAGGGGAATGAGCAATCAATTTCCCCGTACTATGAACCTCGATGCGGTGGCAATAAATAATTCCTCGGCACAAGAACAGTGTGCGCGCTGCTGCTGCTGGCCTGCTGCTGCTGTGCTGGGTGAGTGTGAATGCGAGCGAGAGAGGAGAGAGAGAACTGGCATTTACTTATGGGCAGAAAATAAATTGGCTGTAAAACCATGGGTTTTTTTTTTTTATCTCTGAGCCCTATAGTTGTCCATGCAGTTCGAGATACGACGGCACGGCACGAAGCCTGTTTTTTAGCCCGACACGAGCAGAGCACGGCAGACGGCAGCACGGCCCGACTGAGTCGGTAGGCGGCGTGGCCCACCCCCCCTCCCTCCTCACTCACTCCTCCCTCCCATTCTCCCCTGACCCAGCCATCTCTGTCCGTCCCGCCCCCCTCCTCATATATAAACTCACGCCGCGGCCACGGCGGCTCACACCCGAAAACCCTAGCTCATTTCACTCGCTCGCCCGCCTCGCCTCGCCTCATGAGTCTCGCTCTCGGCTTTGTCCTCCTCGACTCCGGTGAGGTGACCTCAACGATCCGGCTCTGCCGCGGCAAGCCGCCCCTGCTCCTCCCACCGATCCCTCCCGCTCCCCTCTCCGCTCTCCCTTCTTCCTATCCCTATCTCCCTCTAGATCTTGGTGACTATATGAGTTCGTGTCTCGCCTCGCCGCCTCTCCGTCCGTCGCTTCGCCCTTCTAAGGTGTGTCGTCTTCTCTGGGTGGCCCTCGTCTTCTCCAAAGACTGCTCTAGTTGCATGCAAGTACATCCCTAACCCTAACCCTAACCTCGCTTTGTCCCGACGAGCAACTCCCTACTACTAAGTCCTACCGATCCCTCCCTCTAGATCTCGTTGATTATGTGAGTTGGTTGTCTCTGTTTGTTCCTCCTCCGAGTCCGTCTGGCCGTCGTTGTTGGTGAGTGTCGTATTCTCTCGGACTCGGTGCTCGTCGTCTTCTCCCAAGACCGAGCTCCGGCCTTGCAGTGAAACCTTAACCTAACCCCTAACCATGTTCTAATTTCTTCTTTTTCTTTCAATGTATGCTTCGATTTCTTCTTCTTCCATTGTTTAGCAGTGTCGATAGCCAATGCATCGCCTTCTAGTCATGGCTTAGAGCGAGCAGCAGGCGCCACCCGCACCGCCGAGGAACGGGTGAGAGAGGCTGCCATGGCCATGGCCGACGAGGATGGCCTCCCCGCCGGTTGCTTCGGCCCCAGAGGGCGAGAACGACGACGACACTCAAGCCGACGCTGCTGCATTGTTCAGTATCGATCTTGGGGACGGCTCTGTTGCTCCGATCGATGTGGACGCGGACGGTGGCGAAGGGGCGATGACGATTGCGAACTCCAACGGCTCTGCTCCTTCGGTTGCTGGTACAGGTAACACTAGTAAGCGCAAATCGCCTGTGTGGGCTGATTTTGAGATCTATGAGGTTATTAATGGTTTTAGAATTTGTACCAAGGCTATTTGTAAGATGTGCAAATCTACCTTGTCTGCTAGATCTGCTGTTGGCACTGGTCACTTAAAAAAGCACCAAAAATCATGTAGGATTAAAACTGATCAACGTGCTAGGGTTCAATCTAGGCTTTCATACAATCCTGATGGTTTTGTTTATAACTGGGATTATAAACTTGAAGTTGCTAGATCTGAATTATGTCGTTTGATTGCTAAGTTTGATCTGCCTTTAGGAATTGGTGAGACTGATGCTTGGGAAGAATACATTATTAGAGCTCATAATCCTAGGTTTGTTAAGGTCTCTAGACAGACCACCACTAGAGATCTTGGCAAACTTTTTAATGAACGATGTAATATAATTAAAAACTGTGTGTTGTCTGGTGCTTCTTCCATATAAGGATGTTAGATGAAATGCTACATATCTTATGCTTAAACACCTGCTTCCATATAAAGATGTTTTTTCTGTGTTCATTAATTCCAACTATGGCTCAACGTTGTTAACTGCAAGTCACTGGTATATTGCTGATAAAATACTTGAATTCCTAGAAGTTTTTTATGACTCCATAGTCACTCTTTCTGATGTTTACTATCCAACTAGTCCATTTATTCTCGCACCATCGCTAGATATTATAACTCATTTGCATGAAAGTTCAAAGGATCGTAATCATTTTCTATTGTCTATCCTATGAAGCTTAAATACCTAAAATCTTTGGAAGGACATACCTCTGTTGTATTCATTTGCATTCATTCTTGATTCTAGAGGTAAAATGAGAGGTTTATTTAATGTTCTTACCATAATGCAACAAAAAATTGGTTTTGACTATAGTTCTTATTATGGTATTATGAAAACTGAAATTTTAAGTTGTTTAACAAGTATGAAGAAAAGTTTGGTGCAAACTAGGTCTCAAATGAGGGTCGCACATCCTGCAAGCATCACAGTAAGAGGAAGCGGGCATGGGAAGAATTTTTGGAGACCCTGGAGCATCGGGTGTTGTTGGACCTTCCTCCGCCTCTGCTCCCGGTCCATTCTTTATCTACTACATTGTTGCTTGTGAGCTATTTGCTTATCTCGGGCGGTGACAATGTCACTTTGCATATGAGGATGACTTTGATCTACTTCTCGGTGGCGTGACCATAAGCTACACATATCCAAAGGCTTTCCATCATGGCTAGAGACATTATGTCGGTTCTGTTTCAATGGTGTCTTGAGAATCTTGTTTGATTTTGATGAAAAGAATACTTGAGAAGCGGGCGCCGTCGATTATTGCCTGAACATGTGGAGATGCTTGCTTGCATAAAAGATTGGGAGCTAGGTGAAAAAAGACTGCAGCATGATGTTGACAACCAAGAACTAGTAGACTCCTTCGAGCATCTCTATCTTAATGAAAATGCATCTACTTCTGGGGCTCCTTCTGCTAGCACATCTGCATCTGTGGCTTTCTGCATCTAGTGGTTCTTGAGTTGAGAGTTGAGATTGAGACGGTGAGAGTGTGAGACTTGAGAGGTGATTTGAGAGCCCGAGACTTGATTATGATCTCAGATCTGTGATGTATCATTTAAATCTTTGAACATGTTTAAGACTTATAAGAGTTGTCTTTGCACTCTTTTTTCTCTTTCTAGGGTTTCTCACAAGGGTGAGTTTTATCCAGAAAGGTTTTTAATGAGGCAGCATTGCACACAACTCAGTTATCCTTTTGATTTCCTCTTGTTCTCTGTGTGTATGGTTTTGGTTTTGGTTTTGGTTTGAAGCTTTTCTGAAAAAAATATATTTCAAATTTGAATACTTCTTGTTGAGATGAATTTTTTGATGTGTTTTAAACCCTACGGACCTCGGGCTGGCACAGCCTGGTGATTCGGCACAGATTTAGGCCCATAGACCCGTGCTTGGGCTGATGGTAAGGCACGAGGCCCGCAGCGGCACGGCACGGGAGGCACGGCGTGCCGTGCCGGCCCAACATCCTCCGGGTCGTGCCTGGCCCGTGCCTGGGCCGTGCCGAGCCGGGCCGGCCCTCCACTTTTCTTGTATTGTTGCTAGTCTTAGCACTAATGGCATGCAAAGCTTGGTGCTTCGCTGATGCTTGTAAGGGATACTGCACTCAACCGGCATGTCTGGGAAGGCGCCATTTCAACCACCGCCACCCTGCCAACCGGCGAAGAGCTTGACATGAAAGGGACCTGACAAGTGACAAGGAGGGGTTTCTTTTTTCACGGCTTGAGAAATTTGACACTAGCCAGCAAGCACCAAGCTTTTCTGACCTTTTTTTTCTTTGTCCTGTCACGGTAGGTGCTTTGCCGGGGGTGCCAAACTGTTCTTGTGGTGTTTGGTCTTTAAATTATCATTTTGCTACTTAATTGGCATCTTTTTTTCTGGATCAATTCATCGGCCAGTTCGCTGGTTATTTTCTAGGTTGATAAAAGTTTATTTGGTCTTTGGTTTGTTGTACAGAAAAAAATCATGATAAATGGTGATAAGCTCTGGTTAAAACCAACAAACGAACAGACTACATGTTTTTCCATTATTTTGCAATTGCCCGTTTCTCTGACGTGCAAGACATGATTGAGTAAATCATGCAATAAATTTAAGACTTATTTTTCCAATTTTCCTTCGTCTCATATAGGGGTTGAAAGTCATTCACGGCGTAGGATATTTTCAATTGGACGTTTTAAGTAAAAGCATGCTAACTACAGATTGAGATCCACATATATGACTTGCAACAAATTTAAAAATTCTTTTCTCGTGATATTTAGATAGCTAATCAAGAGTAATGATCCATAAAAGCTTACTAAGTCGAGGGGAATACAAATTATGGTAAACAATGAATGTGCGCTCGCATTGTGCGTGACTAGAAAATTTTAGCCAATGAAATAATAAATTCTAAGAACATCAATGTCCCCCATAATATATAGCATAGCAAGTGTATGATTGCTACGTCCTAATTATAAATTTATCGTAGGATTAGGAAACATTTATGCTCACAAAACTAAGTGAGTGGACAGTTCATCTGTTAGTATCACTTATATATCAGCTGCCGACAAAACAGAAACGGCTGTGTAGTGACAATTTTCAAGAGCTAGTTGGACCTCTACCTTTTTCTGTTTAGATGTCCAACACCAAAAAGAAAAATATATACAATCATCACGTAGTAGCAGGATGATATATTATTCAGAGCAAGAACGAACTAATAACCGGAGGTACCTTTCATTCTTTTTTAAGATGATTGGGTGGCGCCTCATCATTTTTTTTTAAAAAAAAATGGTGGTACTGTACTGACAAGTGCATCAAGTTCGCT